GAGTGCATGCACCCTATAGTGAAAATCTCTCCAAAGGAAAAAAAAAAATCAAAGAAGAACATCCTGGCCTATCCATTGGTGATGTTGCAAAGAAATTGGGAGAGATGTGGAATAACACTGCTGCAGGTGATAAACAGCCTTATGAAAAGAAGGCTGCTAAGCTGAAGGAAAAATACGAAAAGAATATTGCGGCATACCGAGCTAAAGGAAAGCCTGATGCAGCAAAAAAGGAAGTTGTCAAGGCTGAAAAGAGCAAGAAAAAGAAGGAGGAGGAGGAAGATGAAGATGAGGAAGAAGAGGAAGATGAAGAGGATGAAGATGAAGAAGAAGATGATGAATAAGTTGGTTCTAGCGCAGTTTTTTTTTTCCTTGTCTATAAAGCATTTAACCCCTCTGTATACAACTAACGCCTTTTAAAGTAAAAAGTGAAATGAAAGACTGTATAAGATTTGTTTTTAAACTGTACAGTGTCTTTTTTTGTAGTTAACACACTACTGAATGTGTCTTTAGCTAGCCCTGTCCTGGTGGTATTTTCAATAGCCACTAACCTTGCCCAGGTTGTAAATTGGCATGGAAATTTAAAGCAGGTTCTTGTTGGTGCACAACACAAATTAGTTATATGTGGAGATGGTAGTTTTTTCATCTTCAGTTGTCTCTGATACAGCTTATACGAAATAATCGTTCTGTTAACTGAATGTCACTCTGTAATTGAAAAAAAAAAAGTTGCAGCTGTTTTGTTGACATTCTGAATGTTTCTAAGGAAATACAATTTAAAAAAAAAATTGTGTCCCTATCAGCCCCACTGCAAAAAATTTTATCACACTCTGCTCTTAAACAGTCTGATACTACTTTTTTGTCCTTTTTGGCAAAATCTTTTTACAGTAATAAAACACATAGTATGCTTGCAATATTAAATACTGTATCACTACAATCATCATTCACTTAAAATTTAGTTTAAGGAATAGAATTTTTAAAACGATTTATTGAATTTTATTTGTTTTTCCTTATTTTTCTTCAATTTGACCAGAGTGAAACAAAGAGAGTGTGAGAGGAAGACTGAGAAAGCAAGCTGCCAGGTCCAGGACTCAAATCATGGTTGGCCATGTGGGAGTCCAGTACCTTAACCAACACACCATCTGCTGGTCCCCCTAGTTTAAGGAAAAGACTTTTACTAATACTATTCAGTAAGGTGCACAGTGGTCCAGAGAGAAACTCTATTTCCCAGCTTCTTTTGCAGTTTTCAAATTTAAATATATTTAAAACTACCCCCTGATGGAGTAATAATTACATTTTCAAATCAATTTATAAGAGTTCTATATAGATTAAAAAAATGTGACACAAGAAGACCTGATTTCTACTTGTAGCAATATAATGAAATGTGCTTTTTTCAGCTGTGGAGTTTTTAAAAAGGGGCCCTTTTTGATATTATCCTTTGTGTTTTGAATCTGAATTTAGTCATTGATGTCTATAGTAATGTAACATATTTCATTTTAAATATTCTTTCAAAGTATGCAATAAAACATGAGCAGTTTTTAAAAAAAACTGTAACATCAGATTAGACCTTTTAGCTGGATACAGCACTCTGTTTTCTAGTCATTAAAACATCCAAGAGTGGCAAGGGAAGGGGGATCATTAAAGCCCTGAACGACTTGAAATCCAAACTCTAACGGGCAGGGCTGCGATACACCTTATGCTGTGTGACACTAGATAGAAAGCAGCTGTCTTGAACTGTCACTGAAATCATGAGGGGACTTGGTGCTGCCTGGGGTTGGAGTAGGGACAGTAGACACGTCTGGCTTCACAGGCAGGCGCTGACCTTGCTAGTGTGTGACCGTATGACATGGTAGAAGACCTCCAGTCTCACCTGTGAGTGCATGGTAATACTGCTTGTCTCACAGGGTACTTAGGAGGACTAATTGAAATGATAAATAATGAGGATCTAGACTAGAACTCGGCCCAGTAGCCATCAATAATAATTATATGGCTTCCTCAACATCGCACTCACACAAATGTGTGAGCATTTATTTAGTTAGTTAGTTATTCTTTTGTTGTGATTTTTCAAGCTGCCAGGTCTAGGACTCAAACCACAGTCGACCCTGTAGGACTCCAGCACCTTAGCCACCATGCCACCTGCCGACCCTGAGACGAATATTTGAATCCAGTTGGATTAAATACTCAGATTTCAGAAACATTAAAAGTAAAAGTAAAGATATTGGGGGAGACATGCATAGATTTTTTTTAAATGAATTTTGTTTGGAGACAGTTTAGCTATGAACCTCATGAATCTAAATAGCACAAATAAGATTGGTAAGCCTGAAACATAAAAATTAAAAATGTTTATATTGCATAAACAAAACTCAAAATCAAGGAACAAAGTGGGGATATTTTTAACACATGTAGGATAAGAAAATGGCAACTAGTTTAGTCTACAAGAGATATTGCAAGTAAATTTGACAATTCAAAAATTGTCAAAAATACTATGAATTGATTTCAGAGAAATAAACACAAATTGATAAATAAATAAATATTTTTAAATGTGGTCATTCACGATTTTTAGAAACTAAGTTTAAACATTAATATGACTTTTTAAACTATCAAAAGGTTAGACAGTATTCATGATATTTTCCAATTTTGATGTGTGTGGTATACACATCCATTCACTTGTTTGGACTGCAAATTGTTGGGATAAAATTCGGAGTATGTCTATCTAAATTTAAAATGTCCATACCCACTACAGTCATCTATTCACGAAGTATTTTGACACACAAACTCAAAGTTTTATGTATTAAAACATTTTCATTGCTGGATTGTCTATACAGATTTTTTTAAATCCTGTATAAAACTAAATATTTATGACAGGGAAACAGTAAAACTAACAGGACTAGTTATATCCTTAACATAGTATGCTATGAGTCATTAAAAAATGAATGAGAACTATTAATATAATGTGCAGATTTGGAATGACAAGTTAATTTGATATTTAAAAAACATGCCAACAGTTTTCATTATAAACTTCCAGTTATTCAAAGAAAAATAATTATAAATATAGACATACATACTAAAAGTTTTCTGGAAAGAGGGACCAGTAGGTGGCATAATGGTTACGTTGCAGGACTCCCACATAGTTGACCACAGTTCGAGTCTCAGACCCAGAGACTTAAAACTCACACTGGGCATCTGAGTGTGTATGCCCGAAATCCCAAGAGGAGAATGGAGAAGGGACTGTGGTGTGGTGATGCCCCCTGGGGTTGATTTCTCGCTTTCTGTCTCTCTGTCTCTCTCTTTCTCTCTAGCGAGCATATGTAACCTATAGCAAAAAATCTCTCTAAAAATAAAAATAAAAAGGTACTTTTCTGGAAAGAAATTTTTAAATGTTGAGCATAGAATTAACGATGAGTACAGAATAGTAGGAAGGAGTCAATAATACTTTGTATGCTTTTCTAAACTGTTTGAGTTCCTCTATGCTCATGGCTATCTCACTTTAATCTAAGAAAGTTCATGTTAATATGATGATAAAAATATAAAACATAAGTCAGACTAAAATTAAATTAAACGTCATTGGGAGCCAGAAGATCATTTTAGGTGATGAAAACATGTGCCATGTGTTCTTGAAAGAGAACTGTCAAAACTCGACATTCTTGCAATGAAAGGATACATTCGTTGGTGTCTAATGAATTTTGTTTTCCCCCAGACAAAGCCAAAGGCAGATCAAGAGCTGGGACCCACTTTGACTCAGCCCGGAGACGGAGCCGCGCAGTTCTTTATCACATCTCTGGGCACCTGCAGAGAAGAGAAAAGAACAAATTGAAAATAAATAATGTAGGTGGTCAGTGTACACTGTGAACGCTGGTTTTCCCTGGTGGCAATGTTTGATGCGCTAAAGAAAGCCTCCAATTATTCATTTATTGGCTTTCCTAGATTTTTTTTTTCCACTTTGCCTTGTGCTTTCCTATAAAGAACAAACTGGAAAAGGTCAGCAGTCATGAGGCATTTCTGTAATAAAAGTGCTTAATCATAGTGTTATCACAGCATGGAGATTAGAGCGTTATTGCAGGACACCGTGGTACTGTGGACGCTGCAGATGGGGACACGCTGGTGACAATTTATGAAACAAGATGACAGAGCACGTCCTCTTACGCATGGGTAGTTCGTTGGTCCGAACGGTTCAAATTTAATTTTAGTTCCATCTCTGTTATGTTTTACCTAATTTCACTTAATGTTTTTATCCAAGGGGATTGTAACAAATCAAAGTCATTACTTAAAACGTGACATTTTATTCAAGATGCCCTTGGAAAGCTCGCAAGGTAAAACATTCGATTTGCAATTCCATGCCACGCATTACGCAATTTTGGAAAAAGTTGCATGTTTAGTAAATGATAGTAGCGCTGCTTTCTGAAACCGGGGATTTCATCTGTCAAAGAACTCAGCAAGTAACTATCTCCAGAAGGGGATTATTTTCAGAGCTTTCCATGCTACGCGTCTTTCAGGATTTCACATTTAATTGCTTTTGAGCACTAAGAGGCGTCACCATCACTGAGAAACTCAGAACAATGTCAGTTGAGTTGTAGATATCCAAAGATAATTTTTGAATGATATTAATGCCACTAATTTGCATGGGGGGAGGGGTGTAACTATAGGTGGCAGATTAAACACTCAGGGTTTAACTTGCCGGTGACATTAGAAAAAGTCACTTGGAAAAAGCAGAACTATTTTGAAATCAATCTAAGATTGGGAAGTTCTTCACCTTATTTTTTAAATGGTAAGCTTGGGGAATACCTAGCTGTACACAAATGCCTTGATCAAACAGGCCAATGTATCAGATACGCAAAGTATCCATTTCTCCATAGCAAAAAAAGAAAGGTGAGTAAGCCCAGGGGGTGGCGATCTGACAGGAGAATAATGCAAACCTGGTTTTGTTTCAATGAGACTCCTTCTGGAGCCTCTAAGATGTTCTGATTCACTTGTATTCCAGACCATCCGCCTTAGCCTGCTGTTGTGCTTTGCACGGAGAAGAGTCACAAAAAAGCCCTTCTAGCCCTGACTCAATATGGCGCTCTCGAGATACTTGTGCCTTAGTGTCACGTGGATTTTCCCGGCATCCAGCGAGAGATCTGGAATGTGCATACTACTCCATCTCTCATCCTCCTGCTGGTCCCTGTTTACACCTGCCTTCGGCTAGCACAGTAGCCGAGTGACAGTAAACAAGTTCTCCAAAAAAATTAAGGCAGCCACATTTGGGCTTGATTGTGTGCAGGCCAGCCAGCACCTCGGCAAATACTCTCAGAGATTCTGAAATGCTGGACGTTGACAGTCCGTAGTCAATGTCATTTAGACATAGCGAGGATCAGTGAGTTTTAATATGCATTTGCTGAGCATGCTGAGGTTCTCTTTGCTTCTTTGTTAATTTACAATCATTTTTTTTCTGGCCATAGAGCACCTGCACTCACCAGAGAGAAAGACATCGAAAACAAGGAGAGAGAGAGAGACCATGCACTCCCTACTGGGGAGGTCATGCTGCAATCCTTCCTCGTCGATTGTTCCATTCTGTCAGGATCTTGGGTGTGCAGATACATGCACCAGCATGGGGCAGTGCTCAAACCATGGCCGGCCACATGGGATCGAGCGCCCTTAACCACCATGCTATCAGGCTGGTGGTTTCGACTATTTTTCAACCCAGTAGAAAATAGTACATAAAAACGTGATTTTTAAAAATCCTAACTTCTGGGGACCAGCAGATGGTGTAATGGCTATGTTGCTGGACTCCCATGTAGTCGACCATGGTTCTATTCCTGGACTCAGTGGCTTAAACTCACATCAGGCACATGTGTGTGTGTTCCCAAGATCCCGAGAGGACAATGGAGGAGAAAGGATTATGGCATGGCCATCCCCCTGTGAGGTGATTTCTCACTTTCTGTCTGTCTCTGTCTTTCTGGCGAGCATGCAAGCTCTATGGCCCCCCCCAAAAAAAAGAAAAGAAAAGAAAAGAAAATCATAACTTCTGGAGTCAGCCGGTAACATAGAGGTTAAGGGAGCTGGATCCCATATAGCTGACCCTGCTTTCAAGACCTGGACCTGGCGGCTTGGAAATCACACTGGGTACATACGTATGTGTGCCCAAAATCCTGAGAGGAGACTGGAAGAGAAGGGACTGCGGTATGGCCATCCTTGCTAGGGGGTGATTTCTCATTCTCCCCCCATCTCTGTCTCTCTCCAGGGAATAGACATACCCGAGAGCAAAAACTTAAAAATAAATAACTTCTACTGATGAGCTGATTTGCTTAAATGACATTCACTTAAGTACAAACATCAAGGTGGAACATGAAAATAATGCCCTTCAAAGCTCTCTATGCCTTGATCAAACAGGCCAATGTATCAGATACGCAAAGTATCCATTTCTCCATAGCAAAAAAAGAAAGGTGAGTAAGCCCAGGGGGTGGCGATCTGACAGGAGAATAATGCAAACCTGGTTTTGTTTCAATGAGACTCCTTCTGGAGCCTCTAAGATGTTCTGATTCACTTGTATTCCAGACCATCCGCCTTAGCCTGCTGTTGTGCTTTGCACGGAGAAGAGTCACAAAAAAGCCCTTCTAGCCCTGACTCAATATGGCGCTCTCGAGATACTTGTGCCTTAGTGTCACGTGGATTTTCCCGGCATCCAGCGAGAGATCTGGAATGTGCATACTACTCCATCTCTCATCCTCCTGCTGGTCCCTGTTTACACCTGCCTTCGGCTAGCACAGTAGCCGAGTGACAGTAAACAAGTTCTCCAAAAAAATTAAGGCAGCCACATTTGGGCTTGATTGTGTGCAGGCCAGCCAGCACCTCGGCAAATACTCTCAGAGATTCTGAAATGCTGGACGTTGACAGTCCGTAGTCAATGTCATTTAGACATAGCGAGGATCAGTGAGTTTTAATATGCATTTGCTGAGCATGCTGAGGTTCTCTTTGCTTCTTTGTTAATTTACAATCATTTTTTTTCTGGCCATAGAGCACCTGCACTCACCAGAGAGAAAGACATCGAAAACAAGGAGAGAGAGAGAGACCATGCACTCCCTACTGGGGAGGTCATGCTGCAATCCTTCCTCGTCGATTGTTCCATTCTGTCAGGATCTTGGGTGTGCAGATACATGCACCAGCATGGGGCAGTGCTCAAACCATGGCCGGCCACATGGGATCGAGCGCCCTTAACCACCATGCTATCAGGCTGGTGGTTTCGACTATTTTTCAACCCAGTAGAAAATAGTACATAAAAACGTGATTTTTAAAAATCCTAACTTCTGGGGACCAGCAGATGGTGTAATGGCTATGTTGCTGGACTCCCATGTAGTCGACCATGGTTCTATTCCTGGACTCAGTGGCTTAAACTCACATCAGGCACATGTGTGTGTGTTCCCAAGATCCCGAGAGGACAATGGAGGAGAAAGGATTATGGCATGGCCATCCCCCTGTGAGGTGATTTCTCACTTTCTGTCTGTCTCTGTCTTTCTGGCGAGCATGCAAGCTCTATGGCCCCCCCCAAAAAAAAGAAAAGAAAAGAAAAGAAAATCATAACTTCTGGAGTCAGCCGGTAACATAGAGGTTAAGGGAGCTGGATCCCATATAGCTGACCCTGCTTTCAAGACCTGGACCTGGCGGCTTGGAAATCACACTGGGTACATACGTATGTGTGCCCAAAATCCTGAGAGGAGACTGGAAGAGAAGGGACTGCGGTATGGCCATCCTTGCTAGGGGGTGATTTCTCATTCTCCCCCCATCTCTGTCTCTCTCCAGGGAATAGACATACCCGAGAGCAAAAACTTAAAAATAAATAACTTCTACTGATGAGCTGATTTGCTTAAATGACATTCACTTAAGTACAAACATCAAGGTGGAACATGAAAATAATGCCCTTCAAAGCTCTCTAAATAGCTGTGACTGACACTATAAGTAGCATCTTACTTCTGAAGTAAAGTGTGCCTCAGGACTGGCCCTAGTCATCATCTCTCTTCCAGAACACAGTAGAATAACTACAATAGAGGAAGAGAAAGGGAAGAAAAGAAAATAACCTGGATAGCGTATTGACTTGACAATCCGTCTTTGGGGAATTCTGGCTATAACAACATTGGCACACACACAAGAATTCTGAACATTTGTATAGCATTTTGATATTTACTAAATCCTTTTACTTACATCATATTTGACTCATACAGCAAGATTTCTTAAAGTGTATTTGTTCCATAAATGAGAGAGATGGAGAGAGATACCCCACCTCTGACGGGGTCCCAGCACCAGGTCCACCACAGACTCAGTCAGCCTGGCTCTTGGGCACATCCGTGTCCAGTGTACTCAGAGGCCTGTGGAAGCCACCTGGTATCCTTCCAATGTGGGTCTGCTTTGCAGAATGTCCCAATTTACTGCTGTACCACCCGTTACGATTTTTACTAGTCCTATTTTAGTGATAGGAAAAAAAAAATTATTTAAAATCTCAAAAGTAGAAAGAGCAACTGGGAGACCCGGCTCTTATCTTCAGACTCAAAGCCACGGAGGTTAGCCTCTACCTTGCTGCCTCTCTGAGACAGCGCTGTGGCTTCACCCCAGGCAAATGACCGCAGGTCTTGAGCAAGGTCTGGAAGTCAGGAAGCAGCACCCTTCCATCCTGGTACTTACTTCGCCTAGTACATCTTGGAAAAGGAGTTTCATGTCAGCCTTTCCTTGATTTGTCCCTCAGTCTAGCAGCTGAGATTGAGATAGTGAAAATTTTTCCAACACAAAGAAATGTTGTAAAGATCACACAAGAGCCTTGGGCGCTTGAAAGGAGAGCACTATAAACCCCTGACTATTGCCAATAGAGTACCATGCCAGTGGTCGTCAAAGACATTCACCGTAAAAGCATTTTTCTACTCCCTTGTTCATTCAAACAAAACAGCTCACAGAAATATTGCAAAAATAGTTTAAGAAACAGTTACCCTCATTTGGCATTAGAACTATTATTTCAATAATTCATAGGCTCAGTTTAAACAGCTAAATACCATTGGTACTAGAGAAATATACTTCAAAATTAATAAATAATATATACCTAAAATCTAAACCAACTGGTTATAGTCTCCCTCAGGTAAGCTCTGTATGTTCGAGGATTGTAAACAATATGCCTTCTTCCCTACTTTCTTCCAAGAGCATAATTTTACAATTGTTTCTACTTCTCTTCACAATTGTAAGAAATGCTCTTCCATTTAAAAGGTATTTTTATAAACTTCACAAATATTGTGGTGGGAGAGAGGAACATCTATTTTTTTTTCACTCAGATAATTGTGTAAAGACAAGCAGGATTTGACTGAATAACATTTCAAAATTTAAGTCTAACTTGAAATATATTGAAATCTAGTTTTTTAATAATATGTTTCAAGTAGCCTACACACACGAATTTGAGTGATTTATTTCCCGATATGAAGAGACAGCTGAAGTACTGCTGCCATTTTTGCATCAGTATCACTCATGCTTCATGTAATCATCATAATCCAAAGAGAATACACCTTGAGTTGTCCCAACCCTCACCCCTAGACTTGGCTTCTCTCTCAAACAAAGGAAATTTTAATTTCTATAACCCTATAGAAAAGACTATTTGGATAGAAAATGAGATATTCCCTTGGCTTCTGATAATTTTATTGCAGTACATATTTAGGAAAAAATATAGGTGATTCCATTGAATACTATCATAAGTAGAAGTGCAGAAATGAGCACTTGCAGACCCGAACTCCTTCTTTCTGTGTGTAGCCTGAACATGGTGAGAAGCTCAACAGCAGAACTTCATGTTCTCTTCTCAGGTTAATGCCAAAGTCCGCCTTTGAAACTTACCCCTCAAAACTAGAGAATGAGGCAGAAAAGCCTGGTCAAATATCAGAGAATTGGACGAAACAGATGAAATGACAAATGGGAGACCAGGCACTGTGCCCCACCATGAGGAACTGGCATTATGAGGAGCCTGGGTGGGTTGAGTAGAAACATGTGTCGGGAATGCCTACCAAAAAGAGATGCCAGACAGAGGATGCATGTATATTAAGGCAGCAGAACTATTTAGGCACTGTCAGACACCACCAAGAGCTTAGTATTTCTGATCTCTGAATTGCTCTTGAATCCTAGGATACTTTAGGGCTCCCTGAACACCCCACATTTTTCTGCCCTTCCCTTAATGACTAAGACAGGAAAATAACACTGACCTGCAAGTAACATGTATTCCAAAACTTTCCATTGTTCTATTAATTCAACTTAACTTTCAAATTTAAGTTTCCATTACCTATCTTGTGTTTTTCATTAATTGAGGTCAAAGCAAGGTCTGCATGTATCTGGTCACAGGCTTGTCAAATTTTCTCGCAGGCTATTGTTGAGCCTTTCTTTGTCTCCCAGCCATAGAGAAATTGTTCATCAATTTAGACTGCCTTCATAGTGAAGTGCTTTTGCAGTTATCGAAAACTCCAGCTCTTCTGCATTCAATCAGCTGCATGGTGAACATTCATTTTTCCTCCCGTGACTTAAATAATAACTCTTGAGTAACTGTTTCTCACTTTGCTACCTGAATGAGGGCTGGCCAATGTCAGAATGTATCTGTATCAATCAAAGTAATGAGATTTAGGGTCCCAACTTGAAATGTCACCCATAACCACGATGCAAAAATGCATATATGATCTGGTTAGACTTTGAAAGCCATGTCCACAGCTGTTTACAATAGAATGTTGCTAATCTATTCTTTCTGAAAAAATAAATGGTACCTTTGCTATAATTAGCAGTATCTCCAGTCAAATAGATTCTTTAGAAAAGACTGTCATCTTAAAAACAGTAAGTATACAGAATGTCCCCATGGCAATAAGCATAAAAACATAGCCTTTTTTTTTTTTTTGGAGAGGTTTTTGCTATAGGGCGCGTGCGCTCGCCAGACAGAGAGAGACAGAGAGAAACATAGAGACAGAAAGTGAGAAATCACCCCCCAGGGGGGATGGTCATGCCGCAATCCCTCCTCCTCCATTCTCCTCTCGGGATCTTGGGCACGCACGCACACGCACCCGGCATGAGTTTTAAGCCACCGGGTCCGGGACGCGAACCGCGGTCGACTACGTGGGAGTCCAGTGACATAGCCATTACGCTAACTGCTGGTTCCCAATTTATAATGTATGTAAGATTATACTTGCAACCATGGATGTTTTTAGGTAACATTTTAGATAATAGTCTTTGGATTTTTCATGAACGAAATCTGAATTACGCCCTTAACCTACATGACTAAATCCTATACAATCCTATTACGCATAACCAAGATCTTTGCTCAGTTTTAGTGGATACATTTCTAGATTGCACACCATCAGCTTTGAGAAGTCACTTGTAAGACGTTGTGCGCAGGAATGATCCTCCTCACAGAAGTGTGTGCTTAATTAAGGCAGAGTGGTCCTTATTTCTAATGTGGCTTTTCTCTCCTCTCTCCTTTTTGTCTTTATCCACAGAATGTTTTTGTAGATAAACCAGCATTTCCGGAGTATAAAGTTTCGGATGCAAAAAAGTCCAAGTTCATACTTTTGCATTTTAGCACTTTTAAAGCTGGCTGGGACTGGCTTATTTTGTTGGCGACGTTTTATGTTGCCGTGACTGTCCCTTACAACGTTTGCTTCATTGGCAATGACGACGTGTCCACAACGCGGAGCACAGCGGTCAGTGACATCGCAGTGGAAATTCTTTTTATTATAGGTAAGAACCCCTGGCTGCCTTCCTAGGAGATTTGCATATGGGAAGTAAGTGTGTTCCCCATTTTTCTGACATGAATTTGAACTAAGAGCTATTTGCATGGGCATGACTAAGCCTCTGATGCAAATTTTGAAGAAGCACACATTTGGATTTCTGAAAATTGCCTCTTCCAGCTTTCCCACTGTTCCTTTATTCAAACAGATCTACACTGATGTTCTGTTTTTCTATACTTATTTCACCAAAAATGGCCAAGAAAAAAAGACTTAAGGGATGGGCTGTTTGTACGCTCCCATCCTTCATGATCTTTACCTAAGGTCAGCGATGGGGCTTGGCAATAGCCCACCGGCCGTGTGCTGAAAGTGGTCCATTCCTGGGTGTGGTGTTTCCTCCTGCCCTTTCACACCTTTTTATGCCTTTTCACCTCGTTGATGGCAATTTCAATAAGTGGCCTGGTTGCAAAAGCAAGAGATTACGTAAGCCTTCCAGTCAATCAGAAGTCTTTTGGATTTTAATTGAAGAACAGGCCTCAAGAGAAGTTTTCTAAGAGTATTTATCTTTCGAATATTAGGAACCTTGGTTGAAGCTGCAACTGTGACACTTTTTTAAACCTTTGTCTTGTAAACCTTTGTCTTGCTTGGACCAAAGCCTAGCTCTTCTTTGCTCATCTAAGATAGATTCTGGTCTCTCTTAAGGCTTAGATCTCCCCCTGTCACTTCTTGGCCATCATTATCAACTGACACCTACTTCTTTACCTGATCCCAGTGATGTAGGAAAACATCTTCCTGTAAAGAGAGAGTGTTTGGAAAATACTTTCAAGTAGGTGAACAAAGGAGCAAGAAATGGAATAGGAAATAAGTGAGGATGAAAATCTTGTTTCAAGGGTGGTAGTAGATTTTTCTCAGCCGAGCTTTTAAAACTTTGGGGTCAAAAGGTTCTCTGATGAGTTGTCAACTCATGTTTGCTCTGGATGACCTCATACGCTCTTGGTGTGGCTTTAGTGTCATGATTTACATTTTTCCTACAGAACATAGCCGAGACCCCTGGTAGGACCCCCTGCTCCCACCCTAGAAATGGTAGCTGCAGTATGTCTGGGCCACTAGATGGCAATGTTGACTAGTTAGGCAACTTAGTAAGGCTAAACTAATTCAAGGACACTCATTATTATTATTCTTGTTATTTAGTTAAAACCATTTTTTCTTGTTGTTAGAAATATATAGCCATAAAGGGACTTAATAAATCACTTTTTAAATGGCAAATAACAACATTCCAATCTGAACAGTATTTAAAATGAAAAACGTAGTCAAATTGGGTGTGCCTATGTGCCCATCTACTGTGGCTTTATCTCTTCTGACTTTGTGAACTTCTGGTGTCTCCTCTCACCCTCCATGTTATACACACATATCAGCATACTTAAAACGACCTCATGATTTGACCAAAGTGCTTAACCATTTGGGCGTTTAGCCTGTCAAAGCCTGAGTTTTCTTGTCTGTAATAACTATTTCGTAGACTTCATGAAATAATAGATGCAAGTATCTGCTTAACAAATATTTTATCTTGTTACTGAGACAAAGTTGTATTGAACTTTCTTTTCCACTCTTCCTGATTATTAAAGTTTGGGAACTCCAAAGACCTAGAAGCCACTTCTGGTACTATGAGCTCACTAGCAGATAATAATTTGCTTATTCTCATTAGAACTCAAACCTATGACAAATATTTCATAAGTTGTGTAACACTATGTTTCTCTCCTAAACCAATGGAGACTGTTTGTGCTCTGATCATTATCTCTTGATTCTTCTGTGTTCTCTCTTATTGTCACTTGTTACTTAGGACAGCAAAATGATTCTCCTGACAAGCAATACTCATCCATTTCTAGCTATGTAACAAAGGAATGGGACCCATGTCTGTCTTCATGCAGTTTAGTTTCCATGAAGATTACTTTAAAATTTGAGATTTTGGTATGCCAGGAGTTTTAGTGTGACTTCTCCCTAAAATCCCTAGTTGCCTGACATATTTTATAAGCAGTAAAAAAAAAATCCCCTGCTCTTTCCTATGGTTATCTTCTTCCTCTTTTTTTTCTCTTAAATGAGTAAATGTGTCTAAAATTAATTATCTGATATTGGGAAAAATTATTCAAACTAACTTTTCTTCCAAATATGTTTTCCTGAACCTTCATTCTGTGAAATATTTTATAAGGATGACCTAAAAGTGATCATTGAGAAATAAGTTAAAATACTAGGAATAATGGGTATGCCCTAAATCACAGTAATAATTTCAAAAATAGACATGTGGGATTACATCAAGCTAAAAAGCTTCCTCGCAGCAGAGGAAACAATTAAAGGAAAAAACGCAACCCTCAGAATGGGAGAAAATATTTGCAAACAATTCCTCAGACAAGGGATTGATAGCCTGAATATATAGGGAACCAAACAGCTCATCCATATAAAAATGAATAACCCAATTTAAAAATGGTCAAATAAACTGAATGGACAACTCTCCAAAGAACATTTACAAGTGACCAAAAGGATGTTTTTTAAAATGTTCAAAGTCTCTTGTTATTAGAGGAATGCAAATCAAAACCACAATGAATTTTTTGGGCATTTAACTCTAGTAAGTATGGCTAGGATCAAAGAAATAAAAAAAAAAATGACAAGTGCTGGTGAGGCTGTGGTGAAAACGAAACCCTCTTGCATTGTTTTGGGATTGCAAATTAATGCAACATTTGTGGAAAATAATATGGAGATTCTTCAAAAACATATAAATAGAACTACCATATGACCTAGTAATCTCATTCCTTGGTATTTACCCAGAAAATAGGAAAACACTCTGTTGGAAAGACACATGCAGATCCATGTTTATTACAATATTATTCACTATTGCTAAGACACGAATCAAAAGTATTCACAAACTGATGACTGAGTTGAAAAACTGTGGCATATATCTACTATGGAATATTACTCAGCCATTGAAATGAGACTCTATCATTTGCTCTAAAGTGGATTAATTTATAAGACTGAACATTCTGCAAAATGAGCCAGATTTTGAAAGACACATGCTGTATATCCCCACTCAAAATGTACCAAATGTGTGCACTCTATGGCAGAAATTGAAAGGTCCAAAGATATGATAGTAGAGAGAATAAGTGTAGATACCAGAGACTATGAGGAGAGGAGTGGATTTTAAAGAGTGGATGTGAGGTGCAAAGAGAAAAAAAACATTTAACAGAAAAAAAAAGTAAAGTCCTCTGTTAAAAATAATATTGTATGCATATGATAGAGAATTTATGGAAAATGTGAACTTAACTTGAAAAGAGTTGTAAATAATAAAAAGAATATTAAATATAAAATTCAGAAATATGCCTATAATATTATATCTTATAATGCTAAGATAGTGTTTACACCATTTAATGTTTATTAAATTAGTGTGTGTAGGTGTGTGTGTGGGGGGGCAAAATCCATATGTATATTTAACATATTATTGATATTTACTTTCTGTTTCTTGAATAATGCTATTATAATGGAATCTTATCAACTGGATTAGAATTGTTAAAAAATAGTTTAAAGGGACCAGCAGTTAGTGTAATGGCTATGTCGCTGGACTCCCACGTAGTCAACCGCGGTTCGAGTCCCGGACCTGGTGGCTTAAACTCACGCCGGGTGCATGTGCGTGCGCACCCAAGATCCTGAGAGGAGAATGGGGGAGAAGGGATTGCCGCGTGGCCCTCCCCCCTAGGGGGTGGTTTCTCGCTTTCTGTCTCTCTGTCTCTCTCTGTCTGTCTGGCGAGTGCACACGCCCTCCAACGAAAACCTCTCAAAAAAAAATAGTTTAAACAAGGTTTGCTAAAGGAGGGTATTCATACAGCTAAAAGATCATTTTTTTGATATTTTATTATTTGTACCAACTCCATAAATGGAAGGCAGTGTGATGCATTTTAAAGGGAGACTAATCAAGTACATCATGAGAACCAAGGGTTCATTATCAAAATTAAAGTCGGGAGATTGTCACTTCCGGATGAACAAAGGTGATCCCATTTCCCCAATACCTGACAACAATTTAACAAGTTATTTACACCTTCCTCAAATGACACATCAAATGGAACAAAGAGAGTTCTGGAATGAATTAACTTGTATTGCCAAAGACACACACATACACACAGAGAGAAAGAGAGAGAGAGAGAGAATGGGCAAACACACAGTCAAGTAAATAAAAAGCCAGGAAGTAAAAGGAAAGGTGGGGCATGTGGGCACAGCAGACTGACAACAAACCAAATTCTGTGTGTCCATGGGAGAAATCTTCACTTGGTCTGAAAGACCAGTCGCTTCAAGGTGACACTCAAATGAGTCCAGAATGCCTTCAAGTCATCAGTGGTGAAGTTCAAGGGACCTAATGATCAGACAGGGCCTTCAGCTGCACTTCTCTTATTGAAAGGCTATTCAGTAAGAATAGAGTCACCATGAGATGAGTCTCAGGTAGCAGTTCAGCAGCAGCGGCATTTATAACCCTAAAAGACATGTTATCTCAGCATCAACATTGCAAATGATGGAAAGGGGGATGTCCCAGCATTCACTAACTAGTGATGTATTAGCAAGGTGGCCATCGGTTTGTTTTTCTCAGTTACAGCAGGGGTAGCATAACAAACACTCATACGCTCAAAATGGAGTTATGCTGTCAAAGCATTCAAAATAGAGTTAGTACTGGCAAAACATAAATAAGTAAGCTTTGGATTCAATGAGAATCATAATACTGTAAAATTTAAGTCATAACAGAAATAATATATCTTTCGGGGACCATCAGATGACGTAATGGTTACGTTGCTGGACTCCCATAGTTGACCATGGTTCAAGTCTCAGACCTGGTGCCTTAAACTCATGCCAGCTGTGTGTGCATGCATGCCCAAAATCCCAAGAGGAGAGTGGAGGGGAAGGGCTTGCAGTGTAGCTACCCCCCCGGGAGTGATTTCTCACTTTCTATCTGTCTGTCTCTCTGGCAAGTACACATGCCCGATA